CCAAAAATGATTCAATTGAATACAAATTATCATAAATTAATGTGAGTTTGCGCTAAAATAATTTCATTGGCACATTTGAACATGTTCATGTTTATCTAATGTTTACTAAAATAATGTGAATTTAAGTGCTTGTAATACAATAAATATTCTGTTAGTTGAGAAGTATATCAAAAGTAAAACGATTAGAAAATTAAATTAAAGTGATAAAAAGTCATTTGATGTTAAAAGTATAAAAATAGTCACTTCATTGATAATTGTTCATAATTGTGGAAGTTTTATACAAATTCACCCATTGTGAACTAGTACAATTTCATTAAATATTAATTGTATTAGAAAATTATAAACAGAATCACTATTTGAAGCAATGGTTGAATCGATAATATACTCTCAAAATAAGCTCAAAATCTTGAATCAACTCAAACTTCCACTGAATGTGGAGTTCGAGGACATCAATAATGTTGAGGACGCCTGGAATGCCATCCATTCAATGAAAGGTAAAGACATATTACTTAAGAAGAAGAGATTCGGAGATAATATATGTATATTCTTGTGGTGTATTGAGTGCGGGGCGCGCCGGCCATCGCTATACTCGCGGTGCTTAGTATTGCCGCCGAAATCAATGACCAAAAGATCATCAGCGAAGCGAATGGTAATAAAGATAAACTGTTGGATCAACTGCGAGATAAGTGCAAATATCTGTGCACTTCACGGCCCACTGCCGTCAATATCGACAAGGAGTGCAAGCAATTGATCGCATTTGCCGTCAAATTGAGCGCAGATTCAAGCGTTTCGTTTGAGTCAATGGTCAGCCAATTGACAGAATATGCCGTAAATCTGTTGCAAATCGATATTAATGTCAATAAATCTATCGGCGATTTCGGCGCTAAATATATCAAGTCTTTGAGTCAGAAACCGCTCAATAATGTGCTGACACACTGCAACACCGGCAGTTTNAATATGCCGTAAATCTGTTGCAAATCGATATTAATGTCAATAAATCTATCGGCGATTTCGGCGCTAAATATATCAAGTCTTTGAGTCAGAAACCGCTCAATAATGTGCTGACACACTGCAACACCGGCAGTTTGGCCACAGGTCTGTCCACTAACCAACCATCTCTCAAAAACTACTAACTATTTTAAGGAAATTTATTACTTAAAAACAATTTCCAGCCGGTTATGGGACAGCACTGGGAGTTATCAGGTCTTTGCATTCAACCAACTCATTGTCACACGCCGTGAGTTTATGATTAATAAATTTAATTTACGAATTAAACAGGGAAATAAAAGTTTAATGCAAAATTTATAGCATATCACTACTATTCAAATACTGTTTAAATTTTGTTATTTTTAATTCGTATTAATTTAATGCTATTTTAAAATTGAAATCATTGTCAGTATTGCACGGAAACGCGTCCATACAATCAGGGCTCGAGACTGACCGCATGGGAACTGCTTCGCGATAACATCCCCTCCACTCTCATCTGCGACTCTATGGTCGCCGCTCTCTTCAAAAATAAGACAATCGATGCGGTGGTAGTCGGAGCCGATCGAGTGGTCAGTAATCAATCACTTGTATAAAAAAAACATTGCATTAAACGGATACTGTTTTTGTGACGAATAGGTGGCCAACGGTGACACCGCCAACAAGATCGGCACCTATCAGATCGCAGTGTTAGCCAAACACCATTCCGTGCCTTTCTTCGTGGCCTCACCTCAAAGTACTATTGATATGACTCTCCAGAGCGGAGAATCCATTCCCATAGAGGAGAGACCGGCCGATGAGATGAAGAAAGTGGCCGGCGTTCAGATCACAGCTCCCGGTGCGCTATCAAACTCAATGATACCTCGCATACCTCTGACTCATAATTTCCATTTTAGAGATCAATTGCTGGAACCCATCATTCGATGTGACACCCAATGAGTTGATCACCGGAATAATCACCGAATTTGGAGTCTTCGCACCCAATGAACTCAAAAATAAATTTAAACTTTGATTTCTGAGATAAAATGTATTTTCAAAAAAATACTTTTTAATAAAATCTGAATCGAAAACGAATCGTTTGATTACAATATAGATATCATTGATAAACATGCTATTAATATAATAGAAAAATATCTTTAAAAATAGTTTGAATGCATGTGTGTGTATTGTACTGTATATAACGTAATAAAAATAAATAATTGTGTGCTTTTAAGTGGCGGAATACCGTTCCAATAGGTAGGCGTGACACGAGTCGCAAACTCTAACCGGCTTTTTATTGGACGGAAGAGGCATTTCATTGTTGGAACAATTGCCGCAAAATATTTCCCCACAACTGCGGCAGTGATGCTATCATTAAATGATTCAAATTGTGTTATAAAAAGTGATAAAAGCAGTTGTGTTTAAACAATAATTTGTGAGCAAAGTAGGACAGGGATGGCAACAATTGTTTCATAATAGCATTCATACCCTTCTTCGCGCGACCGAAAATTGTTTGGAGCACTGGTGACACTCGACGGCATCCCTATCACTCGTCCAAACGGCTTCCTTCAGTCGTCCCGTGTTTTCTTTAAGGCCATCGACTTCTAGTTTAGAACTGTTTCACCGGAATATTAAACTTAAATTCACATTATTTTAGTAAACATTAGATAAACATGAACATGTTCAAATGTGCCAATGAAATTATTTTAGCGCAAACTCACATTAATTTATGATAATTTGTATTCAATTGAATCATTTTTGGCATGTTTTGCACGAAATATACATTTCTATAAAAGTTACTTCTAGTAAATTATATAATTTATATTTATATTTGATATTATTTTTGTTAATGAATTTTGAATATTCTTTTATTTTATTTGACAATTAATTATATCATAAAAATTTAGGAATATTTTATTTCTAAAGTGTTTCATATAAAATTAGTTAAAGAAAATACAGTATATTATATTAATATTATACATGAATATAGACTACAGTAATTTGAATGCAATTGCAGTCAATTAGTATTTTGGTTATATACAATATTTCACTTAAAATATTTTTACTTTTTATTTATGAAAAGTACAAAGAAATGAATAAATGTGTTACTCTACAGTATGTTATGTGTTATTCATTTTATGTAATTATGTTATATTAAAATTATTACGAAAATATTGAATATTAAAACATTTTGACAAGTATGAATTTATTTAATTAAATGTTGCAAATTAGTTTATCATTTGCTGGAAACGTGTGTTTAAAATGAAGTTAGCAAATGTTGGAAATGGGCTCTAAATCACAAGGGCTTTAATAGTATGTCTCCATCTCAGTGTCAAATCCCTGTCCCCACTACTCAAACATCTTTCAGGACTACATTCCTTAAGACTACCAGTAGTGCTAATCCATACAATATTGTTTGTATTGCCCAGTACTGTATTGTCTATCATAAATCTCACCACTAATACAGTATATTCTTGTTTTAAAATTTAGAAATTTCTAATTTCATTTAAACAATGGCTACTGTCTAGAATCTGTACTTTAGATATGAAATAGACCATAATGTTTATGACAAACTTATAAAATTAATAGGAATTTGACAAATTTGTGCCTCATTTGAAGCTAACGTTACAAAACAATATGTTTATACGATATAATACTGCAGCGGTATAAATGTCTTCATAATTATCTATAACTAGCGTATTGTTCACATCTCTGTTAACTCGCATATCATAGACACAATTGCTTTGCACTACACATCTGTTCGCTAATTTATACGATATAATACTGCAGCGGTATAAATGTCTTCATAATTATCTATAACTAGCGTATTGTTCACATCTCTGTTAACTCGCATATCATAGACACAATTGCTTTGCACTACACATCTGTTCGCTATTTCCAAATCTAATCAAATCTGAAATAAGAGACAATTCACTCATTGCCTGAACACTGTTCTCACATTTTCCCTCATTTTATGAGTGCTAATAGTTTTATGTGTTTGTGCTTAGCTTTCAATTGAAAACAATTTTAATTAAAACATAAGAATCGTTCAATTCTTGTTAACGTATTAAAAAAAACTTTACATTTGAGCCAAAATTGCGCTGAAAAACCATCTAATCTTTCAATTGACAATAAATTAGGCATTTGTCTGACAGACAACACAAATATTATTCTCTACTCTAGAAATGCATTTCAAAGCAAATTGTGTGTATTGTGCGGAATATATGGCATATAAGCTGTGGAGCACTGGTAGTCTAGTATATATCGATACCATTGGATAGCATTGGGAATAAGAAGAGTGACTGAGACTGACTCCCAATCCCATCATTCAATCCATCTCTTTGTTCACTAACTATAGATCAGATTTACGATTGACTCTCATTTCAGTTCATATCACCACTCAATGATAGCACACATGCATCCATACATACAGGCATTGATTAGTCTTGAAAAAACTATTTTCACAATTAGTTTCTAATTAATCTTTACATCAAATCACAATCTCTTCATTCATAAGCCATACACTCATTCATAGACTCACTGTGTATATGACACTCACGACCTACTAATGAGTGCTAAGTATTTATTTAACTTTCATTAATAGTATTATTCATTATTCAGAGATTTATCCCTCATTTGATTTCAATGATAAGTTAATTGTCAGCATATTTTAGGCATGAATTTGAAAAAAACGAGAAAAAATGAAAATTATGTGCAATAAAGAAATATATTGAACACTATGTTAATGACAATACGATACAGGAATAAGTTTCAACAGATATCGGATGAGCACTTATAGTGGGAAACGATAATTAGATTTAAATGCCATGAAATCAATATTTATTAGCACTCGTCAAACAAATGCAATGAATAGTGTATTTGAAAGCAATACCGTAATGAATAGCAAATAGAAAGTGTGTCCCCAATAGCGAGAGTAGAGCGTAGGGCGGAGTGAATGCTCATGAAGTGTAGTGTTTGGTATAGGAGTGCACACTATATGGTGCATCATAGGTGTAGTCAACGCTATCGCATACAGACATAGACTACAGTCTATTGCAGTGAACGCATAGACAGACCTCTCTATGAAAACGACATTATATGCGATATATCTGTGAGAGTGTGAGTGAAAGCAAAAACTATTTGTCACTTGTTTTCAACCATTTCTCGCGAAAAACATATTTCGCCTAATCTTTCGCCACGAGTCGCCCCATTGCCACCAATTGTCTCACTCCTGGACACCACCAAAGCAGACATGAGCGACGACCGACTCGAGAGGGACCGCAATAAGAAGATGCGAGTGTCGGCCGACACGTCCGGCCCCTCCAACGCCTCGCCGATGACCACCGCCTCGTCGGCCACCGCGCAGACCAGCGCCGGCACCAGCGCTCACACCTCCGCCACCACTGCCACCAACTCTGGCAGACATGTGGTCCGACACACCAACGCCAACAACAACAACAACAGCAACAGCACCACAAACACCAACAACAATGCCATCAACAGTACACCGGAGCGACAGAACGGGGAAAGGGATCCAAATAAAGACATTAAGATGAACCCCAAGATGTCGAAGGCGTTGAGTACTAGCGCTAAGAGGTATGTCTTGTATGGTTGTCCTCCGGTTCCCATTTCTAACCATTGTCTCACAGAATACAGAAAGAGTTGGCAGAAATCACTTTAGATCCGCCACCGAATTGCAGGTATGTATCCATTCGGTGATCACTTGCCATGAATGAGACACTAATGGGTTGATTGTGTGTGTGTTTAGCGCCGGACCCAAAGGAGACAATCTCTACGAATGGGTCTCTACTGTAAGTCCATTGCCAATGAATACATGCCATAAGAATAGTGTCTAATGAGGTGTCCATTGATGCACACAATACACCAGATTCTGGGCCCTCCCGGCTCTGTCTACGAGGGCGGCGTCTTCTTCCTCGACATCCACTTCTCACCCGAATATCCCTTTAAACCGCCGAAGGTATGACTGCTTGTGTTGGTGTTCCCATGAGTGCAATGATATGCTATAACATTGATGCCAACAATTAGGTGACATTTCGCACCCGTATATATCACTGCAATATCAACAGTCAGGGCGTGATATGTCTGGATATACTTAAGGATAACTGGAGTCCGGCGCTCACTATATCTAAAGTATTGCTCTCTATTTGTTCGCTACTGACTGACTGTAATCCAGGTGTGTATTGATTAGCATTGCCACTGATTTGTGTGTCTGTATGTCCTAAACCCCATGTATTGTACTCCCAATTCGGTGCGACAATAGCCGACCCCTTAGTTGGAAGTATAGCGACTCAGTTCCAGCAGCACCGGGAGGAGCACGACCGCATCGCCCGCTTGTGGACCAAACGCTACGCCACGTAATAACAGCCCCACGTCTTAGTCTTATAGTCGCGATTGAATTATAAATTTATTGAGTTTTGAACTTCACCTTTGATTCTGGATTTGAAAAAAACAGTTTATTGTAATAAGTCTTGTAATAATCCGTTTTGGAAAACACACACCGATTTTAGCCGAATAATCGACTCCACGATTAATACTTATGTTTTTATATATTTAAATTTAAAAAACGAAAAATTTGTTGTCAACTAAATGTTTGACCAAAGAATCAGCGAAACAGTTGAGTGATTGTAATAGTCATACGAATCATGTCATGTGTAATGAGAAATTAAATTTACAAAAAATTTGTTTATAACTAACTCTATGCTCGACTGTAATTAAAATGATTTTTTCCCTTATTTTTTGGATCTATAACTAAGATTTTTTAAAAAGATTTTCGTGTAAATTAATGTTCCGACAAATTTGTGCCTATTTTTGTGTATATCTTTTACATCAGATTTTTTCCCATTTATTACATATCTTTCATCACTAATAAAAGAAATTCATTTGATTTTTGCAGTCATTTATTGCCATTCAAAGTGTTGCCATTCATTTTAAGTGCGGAAAAGTTGTCAAAATTTACTTTTGTGTTCACTTTAAACAAAAGGTGTTTACTTCAAAAAGCATTCAACATTACTAAATTTTATGATACCATATATTTACCGTATTCATGCCATTCATTTTAAGTGCGGAAAAGTTGTCAAAATTTACTTTTGTGTTCACTTTAAACAAAAGGTGTTTACTTCAAAAAGCATTCAACATTACTAAATTTTATGATACCATATATTTACCGTATTCTCACGAGTCAGTATACACTGCTTATGAAATGAACTTGCTAATTGAAGCAAATATTTTTACCTTAATTTGCAACCCATTGGGAAAATAATGAATTTTATTTTCTCGGAATTTTCATTTCATGTTTCATTAAGAATAGAAAGATTTGATTTGAATTTGAAGTTTTAATAAACTTATAAATGGAGTATTGGTGTTAATGTTAATATATTTAACAATTTTATAAATTTATATCCATATAAATATCAATAATATGATGAATGCATATAAAATGATTGCCCGGCGAGGGACTGACCATCTGATGAGCGTTTATGTGATGAGAATTGATATGAATTCAAATATTTTGTACATATAATCATAGGAGACTAGTTAGACTGAAATACAGCGCAAATATAATAATTTGTTTTTTACAAAAATATACAAATTATTGGCCTTTTTTGTAGTATAAATAAATTATTCTTTCCATTAGTTCTCAGCAACCGATTGGTCTTTCAGTATATTCTCGTGATTCAGAAATTCTGTCGATTCTAGCGTCGAGTTTGAGTTGAGATTCTTGGGACATAACTGCTTGTAAATGCATTTGCCATTGTGCCACACCTGGCCGATAGGGCACAGACACCCGGGCCGACACTTGCGTTGCTGACAGTTGTCATCGCTGTGGTGGCTGGTATGACACGTCCGCTTACACATGGAGGTGCACGTCGAGAATGTCGAGCCGGTCGGACACTTCATTGCTATCGAGTTCATTGAAATTCTCATTGAAATCAAGTGAACAATGAGTTTATATTTTGACACTAATTATGCAAACCTTCGCAAAGAGTCTTCTTTTTCCAGTGTTGACTATAAAAGCCTAACTTTTGGCATTGGGTCGCATAGGACTGGATGGCATTGCAGTGGCAAACCTTATTCTTATGGCACGAACACACATCGGATAAGCACTTCCTATAACATCCAAATCATAACATGAGTCATGTATTGCTCTCAATTCTGCGGCGTCTTATTCAATGAGAAATACATACCCAAAAAAGGTAGTAATACTGATGGATGTATGGCATTGTCTGAATAGCGCCGACTTGAGTATATTGCACACATTGATCGCGTTGTATCTCTGCTCCCAATCTCGGAAATTGCATCTCATTTGCTCTTTCATGGCTTTCGTCGACTTCATAGCGCTCTCGCAAATCACATTCTTTCCCACCTATTATTCAGTCAATTATCGCATCAATTGCATTATCCATTCACTCTCGCAAACAAATCACACATACCTTCCAAGAATGAGTAAACTTTTCAATTTCAGTGTATATTTTGCCTCTTTTAGTGATAAAGTCGTCGTTTGGGTTATTGTTATAATTTCCGCAGAGACCACATGTTCTCGACTTGAATTCTGGCGGAACTATGATTTCAATCGCGTTTCCGGACTCCCAAATCACTTTTACTCCTAATTGAATGCATTATAACAGCGTTACTTGAAGTTAAAAACTATTTGATTCATGTGTTTGCTATGCATACCAATGGTAGCTCTGATGACCACTTTGTTGGCGTCCTTCACAATGGAAAGGATTCCTAACCTAATGTGCGGCAAACGTACTCTTTTGCGTCCGACGGTCACTCTGAACGCCTGTCCCAAACGGACTTTGATGTCATCGATTTTGATCATAACTGACGTCCCGCTGAAGAACGAGTTGTTTCTCATCTCAGAGGCGATGCTCTGGTTTTGATACTTATTGACGATGTGCACGGAGAAGGACTTGCTTTTGCAATCCCTGGCCAATATGTAGTTACATTTGCCGTTAAACGAGTACTCCTTTCCATCAAAAGTGGAATAATTCGTCAAATTTGTAGTTATTCTGCAAATCGCGTCGTCCTTCAAGTCATTTGAATTATTTATGAAAAGTATGAGAATTTAGTGAAAGAATATTATATATAGAAAAACATATGAATACCTCAACACATGAGCTGCAACAGTCGCCGTTAAGACGAGTCAGTTTGTAGCGATTCGGACAAATGAGTTCTTTGTCGCAGGTCTCGGCCTTACACATGACCTCCCCGTTCACACACGAGCACTGGTGACAGTTATTATGCTTCCAGTGGTCTCCCGACTATTAATCATTACAATCATTACCATATGAAACGCACAAATGAAAAGATCATTTCTAGACATACTTTATATTCTTTGCCTCTGAAGGAACAGGTAGTCTGCGCTTCTTGTGGTTCGTGACATTTGGGACAACACTCTCCCAGTTCTGTCATCTGATTGGATGGCGAACACGCCAGCGGTGGACACACCTGTCGCTCGCAGATATTTGTCGTGTCCTGTCGTGTAATTAATAGTCATCAATATAAATGACCGCAATTTTTAATAACAACTAAACGCTTACATTACAAACACAATTAGTACAGTGATCGTACGCGTAGGTATGCCCTTCTCTATGGACGGATAGCTTCATAATACAGTTCCCCTCGAAGTCTTGAACTTTTCTGTGACCCTTGCATATGGGGCAGCACTCGTTTTTCGGTGTATACCACTTGGACTCCGGACAGGGCAGCACAGGACAGGCGTGTTTGCTGCAGATGGTGTGCCCTTTGACACACTCGCACTTAATGCACGGATCGGTGATGTTGTAGGGGCTGACAATGGGCTGTCCCTCACGGAAGGGCTCGCATTTCTCGCACGACGGGCAGCAGTGGCCGGTTATCTTAATGGGGTTATCGCACGGAATGTGACAATAAGTGCTATATTCGGTGATTACACCGGAATTGCAGACCAATGACTTGCACTCGTCGTTGGCGTCGGCAAAAGTTTCGCCACTTTTATAGTAGTGGCCCTTATATTGACACCCTTTGCACACATCGCAACACGTTCTGTTCCTCCCGTAATGCAATAGATAACAGCCCTTATAGTTGGTGCAGACCTCGCGCTGACACACAATCTCCTGGTTGAAGCACTTGCATGATAAACACGGGTCGTCCGCCAACAGCGAAACCCTCACACTCTGGCCTTCGTTTTGACATTTTATTGAATCACCTGTTGGTGAGTGTCATTAGAAAATGGTTTTCAGCTTTTTATTGTAATTGCTTTTGAATTTAATTTATATTTTTTCATTTTTTTAATTAATAATTTTTTAAATTAAAGTTTTTAACTCGCTACCACTTAACCATTTAATCAGTTTATAATTTCATGAATACTATAATATTATAATCTAAAGTTAATAAGTGAGACAAAGTTTTTAAGTGAATTTACATTACGAGTGTCTGTGAAAAAGGGAAATAATTGTCAAAATGTGTCATAAAATAGCTGTTCATCATTATAACAGACAGTAAATTCCAGAAATAGAAAAATAAAATTATAATTGCAATATTGCTTGGTTAGTTTAATTGAGGACTGAATAGAAATCAATTTATTTGACTATACTTTTAGCCACAGATTCAGCGAACATTTGAGAAAATAACATTCAGTATTAGCATCAAAATGAATATTAATTATCATTTAATGTTTACAGATGTAAATAAGCATTGAATATAATAAGTTTAAGTTTAAGTGAGCACAAATACAGTATAAGCGCTCATTTATAATAATAAAAATCACTTTTTTAGGAATAATTTTCAATTTATTATAAGGAAAGAAAGAAATTTTAAAGAAAATGTTTGATTTAATTGGCTTTCATTGAATTGTAAAGTATAGTGAATAACAATTAATTATACAAAGTGGTAAACTGACTAAATGGCTGTTTCTAATTGCTTAAATGTGAATGTATTAGCAAATTGCCATAAACAGCGAGATAATTGTGATTAAGAAGTGGACAGCAATTGTCTGTTTTGTAGTGACATCTGTTCCATAGAATGTATTTCTTAGAGGATTTCTTTGTAAAAATTCAAAAATCCTGAAATGTTTTGTGCAAATAGTTGTGGATTTGAATGAATGAGAAATAGTGGAGAAGTTATGCGCTTTTCGCGGAACATACGAAACCGAGAGTTAAAGTGATTGTTTGCTTACCTCTAAGTGTTGGATGTGATGCCGATTGGAGTGCACTTCCCGTACTAAACGATAAGATAGCGATAGATATTGAGAAATAAGTGATGATCGACATAATCTTAGGCACCAGTAGCTTATTTATGTCAAGGAACCTAAGAGTCTCTGTAGGCATCGCTGACTGAATGCACAGCAAATGTGTAGTGGCTTTAAGGCAAAGGCAGTGCCAAAACCAAACCTCAAATGCCAGTCCGCTAAGGATATGCTCACTCGCGATAGCATTGAATGCTATGAGAGCCTGAGAAATGTAGTATTATATTAGAAAGTAGTGCCAAACAGGTCCTACCAAATGCCTGTTCCAATGTCTCGAGCAAAACACCACAAAAACTTTGCTTCAGTCGTCGTCTTTCGCCACTTAATACCAGCGCTTAAAAAGTTTTGTGGAGTTCTTGTTCACCACATGTCTGTGCTCTGCGCACATACACTACATTTGTTGCATAAGTTTTGCTCAACACTTCCACAACCATTGCCACCAAAATGCACCTCAAATTGAATTTGTAATTTAAATTCACAATCCACTGAATGGGGCTCACCATTGATACATACGATATATTAGTGTCGTTTTTGGTTAGCGCTGCAAACCTCCAGTTATTGGCAACACTTTGACCACTAAAAATGAGTTTTACAATAATCACTGACACTGTTCTCCATCCCATCAATTGATCATAACTTTCTGTTTGCATGTATTATAACAATCTTAAAGAGATTACAATTCTTGTCGATTAGAGACTTTTATCCTTGAAATACTCGGTTAGGAAAAATTAAAACAAAAATTGATAAAAATCGAAAGAATTAGACATAAATCAAAAAACAAGAATAAGTATAATATGTAATTAAATTTGAGTTATTTTTATACTCGTATTTACTTCTCGTGTTCTAACTCTTCTACATTGCATTCAAACAATTCAAACACACATCAAAAAACTCTTTAATTAATGGCAATGATATTATTTACAACAAAAAACTTTCGCCAAGTTTTACGAAAATTATCGCAAAATAAACTCAAATAACCTTAAATTAATTGAATCATTAGCAGAATAATTAAACAGTTAGTAAATATTTAAAAATATAATATTTTGATTAATCGTTATGTTAGATATAAATACAGTATTGAGAAACGTTTGTTATTCTGATAACTTTTTTACTGCATATTAGAAAATGATAATAATGTCAAACATATAATCATATTAAGCATAATTGTTATGCAATGTATGTTACCTTCACTTTTGAGTTTTTATTTCACTTTTGAAATCTTATGATCTTTTATTTAATGGAAAATACTTTAGCTTCTAGTTATGTATTATGTTTGAAAACCAAAAGCATAATTGTTATGCAATGTATGTTACCTTCACTTTTGAGTTTTTATTTCACTTTTGAAATCTTATGATCTTTTATTTAATGGAAAATACTTTAGCTTCTAGTTATGTATTATGTTTGAAAACCAAGCTCTTAAGCATTTCTGGGAAAATTTCTTACATTTATCTCTAATGTGAATGAATTCAAATTGTTTTTAAACTTAGCTATTGATTTGAATTTAATGAATTTGTTTTTAATATTTGATAAGATTTTATTAAAAAATAATAAATCAGTTAAAAACTGTAAACAAACTATCATGTTATCTCATTTATAATATGTCTGTACTTACACTTAAAATAATTTTTAAACTAAAAACAAAAATAGATGCAAAATAACTTTTTATGGAAATCGTTTCATTGAATCTCAAACCGAATTGAAACAAAATTTCATTTCGGAGGCGAAAACCACTAAAAAAATATGAATCACTAATAAGTTGGACGCCTTCCAGGACTCGTCTATTCTCCGAGAAAATTGAGTCAAAAACCACAAAATTATGATACATTTAATGAAATTACAACTATTTATCTTAAATTCGCTTTTATTGCCTTTCATGTGATTTGTTTGCATTGATTTATAGAAAATGGGGAAAAATAGAGCAATCATTTGCATAACAAAATGCATTTCAATACAGAAAAGGATCTATAATATAAAAATAACACCATTACTCATTCATTACGGAGAAAATACACATTCAATAATTAATTTATTTATCACATCTACTCAATGTATTGGAGAGTTTATTTCAAATATAAATATTAGTTCATTTATATTCAATGTACATTATGTTATCTGATTTTGTTGTATATATTACTCCTATTTCCCTTATTTAGCTTATTTAATAAGTTTTATGCCATAAGAACTTACTAAAAACTTTGATT